GTGACTGGTATTTTTAGATGAAGAGGTCATTAATGCCAGCTTCCATATGCATGTAAGGCAGAAGTAGACAAATGGATATGGAATTCAGGAGCCGGGCAGTCCAATCCAGGAGCCAGAAGGATTTTTTAGGAGTCAACTCCATTGACAACAACTAGAGAAAACCTCAACAGTTAGGCACCGGCTGTATTTTTCAAGGATCATTTTGTGACCTGGCTCCTGGGATTTGTCCAGCCCTGCTGTAAGGCCAGCTTGGGTATATGTCAGCTGACTGTAGGAGAAAACCTGCTACACAAGGAGAAGCCCATGTAAATGGCACAACTACATATAAGCCATAATTGGTGTAATAAAACCTAGTACCGTTGCAATTTAGAGATTATCCAAGCATGACACTATTACCAAGATACCAAGATATTCAAATAACACATGCCAATGAAATCCATAGTACTCATCAGATTTTTGTCACTCGCTTTCTATCACTTCAATGAAGCAGTGTGGCCTAGCGTGGGTTAATGGAATGAGTACTTCTGCTGCATGACTGCACAGAAAAGCCATAGAAGGGTCTGGGAAGATCTTGGCCTTTGGGGACCTGCTGGGATCAGGAGATAAGGTTCTAAGGGACAACCAAAAAGGGGTCTGCTAACTTTCCAATCTGTGCATTCCAACAGAACAATCCCTGGCAATCACTCTTTGCAGAGGAGAAACATGAAAGATTTGGTCAATGAATCAGGGTCATCTGCTCTTTATCAGAGGTGGAAGCCTCGCCCTGGCCAGTTTCTAACCTTTAACCCAGTGCAGCCTTCATTTTCACTGGGATAAAGACATTCCTGTGTGAAGTGCAACCTCCGGCTTCCACTTCTTAATCTTTAGAAACCTAACCCCATCGTCTTGTGTGTTCAGGCCCCAAAACCAGTGCGCAGGCTAAAGCTCTGTGCTGCTCCAAATGCAAAATTCTGCATTGAGATCCTAAAGCTAATAGTAATCTCACTTGTCAAAGCTCTGGCCAGCCAAAGAAAAAGAACATCCTTGCCCCCTGCTGTTGCCACTGACTAAGATAGCACTTGCTCTTTGGCTAGAAAGAATACCCATTTAATGCCTATTCTCCACCTGTTTAATATGTATAGATCCCTTTAGCTATACTGGTAAGTGATCTGGGTTTCCAGTAGCTGACATAAAAACAAACCAAGCAGACGGAGGCTGAATCACTGTATTCTTTTCTAAATATCTAAATCGTGTCTACACTATTAATTCTGTTGCACAATGTTTGTGGGGGAAAAAAAGTTCCTTGAGAATTGGTGCTTTAGGTTTAACTTCCCTGGTTACAGTGGCATCAGAGAATCTGCATACATTAGCTTATAACAGCTTTGTTCCACCCAATGATTCACCATACAAAAATTAAGCTGGCAAGTAGATGAATTTCAGAATAAAAGGACACATGCTGATAAAGCAATCACTGCCATTTGCCCATTTTTTTAAGCTTTTGTGCTAGGACAAATTTGACCTCCAACACCAATTGTCATAGTCGTGTGTATTTATCTAGAAGATGTTCATTTAAGACATTCGGCTCTTTGCGGTTGTCTCTAGGAGACTTAGAAGAAAAGTTTACAAGGGGCAAACAAAATGAAAAATGCCTCAAGGCTGAGTACACACAGCCTCTTTTCTACTATTTACCATTTTATCCCATGTGAAAAAGGCTTTAGGCTATTCTCAGAGCTACCCACTGATATCTCTATTAGAGGAAGTGATTAACAGTGCATTTGATATTCAAAGCAGTGTATTATTTCCATACAGTGCACTATTATCAATTTCAATGCTAATTTATTTATCTGCTTACACACAGTGCCACGTTTTGCCCTGCATTGTACATACATTGTGGGAGAGGCTAGGCTCATTAAGCAATCAGATGGCTGCAGAAAATTAAGATACTGCTTATTCTCATGGATGCGCTACCCTCTGTTGCCTGGCTTACTACAATGTGTCAACGCATCATATTCTTTGTCCAAATCTTATAGACAATATTTATTGCAACTAATTCCTCTTGTGTTTCTGTGTACCAATAATAATGCCACCGAGTATCTACTTCCCAAAAGTCTAACTCTGGGAGCCATTGTATTTCTTTTTTTTTTATTTTTATTTAAGAGCAAATACAGACAATAAGTAAAAACAAATCAGTGAACTACTAATGCTATGGGGATTACTGTAGATATATTTATATATGAAAGTGAGAATAATCACTCAGTTTAAAATCCATCTGTTTACAATCAATTTATATACATAACCCTGCAGCCAGATTTATAAGGCTTTTTTTGTGTAATGTTTGTAAGGAGCACACTTGCATTTTCACAGACTCTGGACCATGACGTGATAAGGATACCAGCAACTATAGAGAGTGAAGCTGAGTACACATGGAACAAATTTAGGCCAGTTCAGTAGGCAATTTGATCCATGGGGATCGTTAGGCCAGTTCAGTAGGCAATTTGATACATCCATCCACCCACTGTAAAGCTGCCCATACAACTGCCAATTATTGTATGATAATCGCGGGTGATCCCGTGATCGTACGATAATCGGCAGGTGTATGGGCAGCGTGCAACCGCATCTACTGTATGGTCGCACGACTTTCGTCTTCCTAGCACGCTGGAAAACCTGCCGAAAATCGTACGATTTTCGGCGGGTTGGTAGCGTGCTCGGAAGACGAATGCCGCACGGGCCAGTGCGCGCAAGCCCACACTGCCCGCTCTGCATTGCAAACGATGTTTACAAGTACAATCTGCCTGTCCAAGATGGGCAGGTCATACGAAATTTTAATGATCTTACAACCATCGCACGACTTTCGTTGGTTGAAAGGTGTATGGCCAGCTTAAGAAATGCGTCCAATTCCTGTGAATCAACTGAAATTCTAACATTGGTATAAAAAAAAAAAAGAAAGTCTTGTGATCCCACCGCCCCATCCAGGAAACAGAAGCAGTGACCTCACTTTTCCATGCTGCAGTTAAGCAACATGGCTTGGTCAAGGGTCTGCCACTGCCAACTAACTGGACAGCAAAGGAACAATAGCACATTAATGTGCTAATCCCTGTACCAAGCAACAAAGCCAGGGTGATCTTCCATATTCCAGATCGAGTGCTGGTGTATAAGATTACAGAAAGCTAATATATAGAAATATTTTGGCACTTCTAATAGACGTGTTTAAAATACATCTAATAAATCTGTAACTAGACTTAATAGTATTTTTAATATCTCAAAATAGTTGATGCCTGCTCAACCGGACCAGACATTCTTAAAGTAGCCGGCTAAGTACTCTTCAGTACTCTTGTAGAATGAAGGCAGAAAACACAAGGCACACACTATCCAAAATGAAATCTTTACTGAGCAATACAGCACCACATGCTAAAAAGCAAGCCAGTTTTTATTATTTTCATATCGGCCTTATTTTTTTTTTTTAACATCACCACTAACTTCAATTTAAAGAAAAAGTATATAAATAGTGGGGGAGCCAAATAGCTGTACACATGATATGAAGCAATAAACAGTGCAGTCATTAGAATTGCTTGCCTTTGATTTTGAAATCATACCTACTGTTTATAGCTAACCATAATAGTGAATGTGGAAAGAGAGATCTTATCAGGAACAAATATGAAATAGTAGGAAACAAGCTTGCCTTGGAAACAGGGGCTAATGGAAAAATCAATTGGTTCACAGCCCTGCTTTTACAACCGCAGATAAATGTTTAATCCTTAAGGGTACTCTATACACAGGTGTCATATGGGAGAAACCCATTACGCTCCAGAAAACTGAATGAAAGGGATTCCATGTGGCATCTCACACATGCTCTGGACTGTAAGGTCAGGCAATCAAAGAAAACAGTATTTGGAACATAAATGTAAAGATCAATGTGGCCCTTCTGCCATTTAAAATGACTGTTTTTAACACTTAATGTGTAATCAGGTTGAGACTAGAGCCTGGATCGGAGCGAAACACAAGAGGCCTGGTACATCACTGTCATGTGATCATGCTGAGCTGGCGTTATTATGCAAAGGTATCAGCAGTCACGTTCGTACCCTGTGGATCTGGCTTTAATGTATTTCACGTGCTTTGTTCCTTACTGGGAAAGTCTCCATCTAGAAGTAAATTGATGGACTCTAGTATAAAATAAATAAATCAAACCGGAGGTTGATTGCTCTGTGTGCTCACACATCTCATTAATATGTAATCTCATTCAAAGGCAAAATAAAAAAAAAGCAATTTGCACACCTGGCCTACATCTAATATATTAGAAATGCATTGGCTTTGTCACTTCATGTTCTCATTCCATGTTTCAACACAGCTGCCATCACATGCTTTCAATGAATGGACTTTAACATGGCTGTCTCCTTGATCGAAAGTTTAGGTTGATGGTTGCCCCTGTCACATACTCTCCTGTCATTTGATTTATTTATTAATAAAACACTTGTAAATATTCTGGAGACAGTCTAAACCCTAAATGAAAGCTTAGGAAGCTCAGAAAAGAGACTTCCTTATTTGATGTCTGACCAAATTCTTCAGGAGCATCAAAAGTTCAAACAGTATAACGGGACTTTTCAGGTGCTACAATGATGTAACCAAACACCAAATTGTAAAAAAAATATATAAATGTTATTCATATATAGTTAAAACTGACTATACCACAAATCAACATAAATACAGTAAAATAACCAATACCCCTAAACAGCATCACTGGGGGTACTTGGGGTGGCCCAAAGGGGCCTGTATGTTGTAAAGCTGGTCATACACTATTCTATTTGTTTTTGTTCAACCCCCAGGCTGAAAGAAAAAAGTAGAACAGATTCCTCCACCAACACTTTCACAAGCTTCGATCAAGGAATCCCGCTATTTCTTGCAGCAGCTGTCAGGATATCCAAGCATAGCCAGCAGCTCACTGGCTGCTGCCTCCGTTCGTTAAATTGCTCAATAACTCATAAACACAATAAGCCAAGAAACAGACATTGCATATGAAAACTTACTTGCTACAGAAATGTGAGCCTTTTGACTTAACATGGCACCATATTTGTTCATAGCCAAACACTGGTAATATCCTTCATCAGAATGTTCTGCTTTCTTTCCCTCCACTTCCTTGATGTACAAGGAACCATTCTGCAATATCGACATCCGTTCACCCTCAGAAATCTTGACACCATTTTTTATCCACGTCAAAGCGATTGGAGGTTCTCCATGAGCTTGACAATCTAACACCACTGAATCTTTTCGTGACACTATTGTATCCACAGGTTCTTTCACAAACAAAAGATCAGTAAAACACCAACACCCTGTCAAGGAGAAAAAATAAGAAAATATTATGACTATAAATTATAACAAAAAACTATAAATATGTAAAAAGCAATATTTCTTTATACATAAAGAATCATAAAGGTGCATAGCTAAACTTTGGGGTTTGATATAAGATGCTAAATACACAGTTAAAATACAAATATGTCAACTGTTTTACTTGGTAAAAGTTTTCTTTTACTGTTGAGCTAATTATGTCATCCAGGTACCCTTGTCAGGGAGCATAGACAGGACCTCCACCTCCCTGTAGATTATGCCGAAGTGAAAGCAAATCTCAAGTAAAAAAATAACCTAACCCACTACTAAAACCACATGGTGGGCACCTGCAAGCCAGTTGCCTAATGAGCACCCTGGGTGCCCTCAATTTCATGGTGCTCTGGTATGCAAATATCAACCAAGCTTCCCTGGTGGAGAGCCTCCAAAGCCACCTTCTTGGCCAATATGGAGGCCTAAGAGGAGGATTGGGGGAAGGGGGCATTATGTCTCTCAAGTAAGGATGCCGGGTTGTTATTTGCTTGCTGGAGCACCCCACGATTAAGGCTAGAGCGGAACATCTAACCTGAGTTGCAAGCATCTGGAGATGCCTTCTATGTGGTGCCAGTTGAAGATTAGTTTTTCTTTTTTAAATCAGCTTTCCCTAAAGCTGGGTATACACAGTTCTAATTTTTCATTCAACCTGTGGGCTGAACAAAAAAATAAAAGATTCCTCCATCAACGCTTACGAGCAAGGAATCCCCTGCCGTTTCTACTGTATTCTGACAGCGGCCACTGCTAGCTCCATTCAACCGAGAATTTCCAACCTGCTCCTTTGATCAGCTGATCGCGGGATGCCAGGCAGAAGGGTGCCAACAGCAGCACACAAGCAGCGCGTTTCAGGACGGTTCTTCATTAATTTGCTGTGTGCATAGCCTACTTTAGTCTGCATCTAGGTCCAAGTCCTCTTTACGCTGCCTGACAAAGGTGGCTGCATTACAACACTAACTGGGGAAAAAATATGAAATCTAAGTGATGCCAGAATTTGCATAGTTATTTTTTTTTAACTTTAGGTCTATTTTATGCAATGAGAATGTTAGCATGTCCCTTAGCTTTTGTTTTCTCTACTTTTTATCAATGGAGCTGGCATTTTTTGTACCATACACTTCAATGGAAACGCTACACGTGATTCAGCACCTGAAGAACTGCTTTCCACTGGCCAAAACAAAAGTGCTTTAAGCTTGATACATGTGCAAAAAACGCTTGCACGAAGCTTGCAAACGATGCAAAGGTCCATTTACGAGAATAAAAGCACACAAAGACACGCAAAGCAGCTTAGAAATCGCCAGAATTAGTCATCTCAGGTGGGAATGCACGCTGAAAGTGCAAATCCAACATAAATAAAATATAATAACAACAAGATCAAACTACAGAGTGTCTGGCGGGGGTTCTCAGGCAAACTTCAGAGCTATGTGGCGTATCAGCTGCCGCAGAGGTAAAGTTTCTGGTGTCATGGTGGACGCACGTTGTCATATTTGTTTACCAAACACTTGTAAAAAAGGGGCACTGAGATCAGTGAGTTTTCACCATCACTAACACAGAAACAAGAGGTAATGCTCTTTGCTGATTTTACAAGCTTGTCACAGAGATCATAAACCAGGGGAAGTCTTAAAGGTTTGATTTTACAAGAAATCATTAAGGTCCCTTCGTTTTTCCACCCTTGGGGGGGGGCGTTCTGCTCTTACACACTCTTCTCTGTCAGGCTTCAAATCATCATTAGTGACAACTGTAAATTTAAATAGCTTGTAATACCTTTTACAGGTCCCTTTGTGTTATCCTTAACACGCGCGTAAATATTAAACCGATTATCGTTCGGCTCAAGCCTTTCTCACTGTTAATCGGAAAGTTGTTGGGTTTTTTTTCACAGCTTGTTAATGGTTTACGCTTTCTTAATGTGTTTGCTCAATTTACTTAATGCTCACATTTCTACGGATACATTTAAGGATCGGGACAATGCAACTTTCTGATATTTGCGACTCTTGCTGTTGCGCCCCAGTGGGAGAGGGATTAAGGAACTTTTATATCCACGTTTGTGTATTGCCAAGTGTTACAGAAATGCTGAACTAATTGGCTGCTTACTGTCTCATGCAGTGGGGATTACTTAATTACCCAATACACATTTTCTTAGAGAGGAAGTAACATGCATTCTTTTTTAACCAACACAACAATCCTAGTTCCTTCATCCATCACAGGCTGAGATAAAAAGAAGTCAGATAACTCAAACAGACCCAGCCTTAGGACACAATCTCTGCTGCCACGCTCTTTAATTTTTAGGGTATTAAGGTTTAAGGTGACATATACAAATAGGTTTGGACTCCCCATCAACAATTGATTTTTCAGATGAAGATCAATAGCCCAGTGCTTAGAAACGACTATGTAATCTGAGATTTTTTTCCCCCCAAGATCCTGTACTTTGGGTAAACACATCTTGAGCTGTTTCAGTGCTAGCTCCAGAAGTGTGAAATCCATCACAAACAAGCTTTATCTGATCTCAGCAGCCTATAATGGCACATTCAATCTCATCTGGCCGATGAGCACATTCCTTAACGCCTTCCTGTAGGGGCGAAAAGTGTTAAACTGGTATAGTGCAACACTAATGTAGGGGTAATGGGCTGATGACCAAGGCACGAGAGAGAGGTTTCTTCTGCAATTAATAATACAAGTTATGGCTCATTCGCAACACTTGAAAATAAACCCTGCGTCACACTTGACCATTTTATAGCTCAATAAGCAATCCCCACGCTTTTAAGTTTTACCTGCTCACAAATAATTATTATTATTTTAATACAGGATTTATATAGCGCCAACAGTTTGCTCAGCGCTTTACAATATAAGTAAGACATTACAATACAATTCAAGACAAGATGGTAAGGAGGGTCCTGCCAGTGAGGGCTTACAATCTAAAAGGGAAGGGAGAGTGATACATGAGGAGGTAGCTGTGTGGGGATGAATTGTTTGAGAATGTGATAGTTCAGTGGTCAGGTTGAGGTGTGAAAGGCTTCCTTGAAGAGATGAGTCTTAAAGGATCGCCTAAAGGCAGTCAGAGTGGGAGACAGACGGACAGGGTGGGGTAGAGAGTTCCATAGGATGGGAGAGACTCTAGTGAAGTCCTGGAGCCGAGCATTCATACACTTATAGCTCAATGGAAGAAGCTCCGGCCCCATTCACATCTGAGCTGAGTGTAAGTGTTTTCTCATGCACATTTTGAGAATTTGTAAGCTAGTTACTAGGCAAAATAAAACGCCTGAAAAATGTGCCTTCCATATGCTTTTAGTGCGGTTCTCAGTGGCTCCCACTGAAGGCCATTGGGGCTAAAACACTTGGCTTTGCTCTAAAAAAAAAATCTCATGTGCTTTTTTGAGCTTCAGGCGGTGTGCTACAAGTGGCAGAAGGCTCAGGTGTGAAGAGGGGCCATTGAAAATAAGGGGATTCCTCCTTTTGAACATTGTAGCGTCTTGTCCCCGGTCACACTTTGACGTTGCATTCAACGCAATGCGTTATAAACATGCAATGCAATTACAGTGCCATTACTTGTTAATAGCACCCTAAATGTTGCCTGTATAATGTGTATTCTTTCCCATGGATGGACACGCATCAAATGTGCAGGAAATGAAGGCCCCGTTTACACCTCGGCATACCGGGAACACATGTCACATTGGTGCACGTACACATGCATTTTTTCTACGTTTGCCATGCGTCCCCATTAATTTCAATGGGTGCGATATGTGCGACAAATGCGGGAAACTAGCTCATGTAGCAAATTCTGCTACCGACGTACGCGTTTTTTTACCTGAGCATTTGTGTGCTTTTTAACGCGTGTCCACGCGCAGAAAAAATGCGTTCTCCCAGCCATGTTTGGGGTGCCATTAACAAGTAATAGCACCACAAGTACATTGTAAGTTTTGACACGTTACGTTAACATACAACAAAGCATGCACTTGACGTGCATTTGGTGTGCGTTCACGGAATACTAAAGTGTGACTAGTGACTTAGGGAAATTCACTACAAAATTCTTAGCTGTGAACAGGGGATATTAAAAAAATGGAGTCCTCCTGTTGAGCAATGTAGCACATAGGCATTCGAGCTACAAAACACTCGTGTGAATGGGCCTCAGAAAGGTACATGAGATACTTTTGAAGCAGAATGAGGCATTTTTGGCCCCACAGACACCTAAAAGATGCCTACAAAGCCTAAAAATTGGAATTAGGTATTCTAGTACCTGGCTTTCCATTGGCTACAAGAAAAAGCCTCAAGACTGAATATGTCTGAAAAAAGTGCACCTAACAACGCTCCCAAACCCGTCTGAAAATGCTGACACTCAGGTGTGACTACAGCCCAAGTATTTAACATATCCATGTATAGCACACATATGGTGTTGGTGGAGTGCTTGTAATGTCTGTAACATAGAACTGACCCCATTAGTAAAAGAATGAGTGACTGTTATAACCTGAGAAATGAACATTTGAACATACATACTAAGGTAGTAAAACATATACCCCAAACACAACCACAAATATGTGCACAATGTCACCAATAAGCAACCACATCCATTGTGCAACACGTAGAATACTCTAAAAAAACATGCGCGCAAATGCATCAAATCACATGACTTAAATCTGCAAAAATCTAAAATAATCTACATATGGAAATCCATAATACTCATCTGTGATAACTATAAACTATCGCTGCAGTGAATATGAATATCGTTAATTACATTAAACTTTATTCTCGTAGTGCTCCATCACATGCTACTTGCCTAATAAATAATTTAGACACAGAAGCTGCGATCATAAAACTAATATTGACAATCTTCTGCATTTAACATCCAGCTCATTATTCCTATTTGGGCCAAAGCAGGATTACAGAAAGCAATCAAGCAAAAACAAACTGTCACTGAAACATACATAAATACATTTCAATGAAGCATAGAGGCACAATGCCAGCCAAAGTGGCCATGTGTTTAGCATCCCAGCCATGTTATTATCCACAGAAAGGGGAAGGTGAGGGCACAGGATATACATTTCCGGTAGGAAAGTAAAATCATCACTTGCGTCCAATGACTCCAATTCACCAGCTTTCCACAAAACCCTTTGGGAAAGGGGGTTACCCGGAATTGAGAATCCACATATAAACAAGAGTCGCCATATAAACATCCAACAGTCCAGTATCTCTGCAGGATAAAATCAGTTCATGTCATTAGTTTCCTGTCGTCTATCATTAACAGGTAATGGACACTAGCTATATTTTGATTTTGCTGTCTTGGGTTTTACTTGCACATTTTGTGTCATCGCGGGGGACAGCGTGTATAAACAGACCAATAGGAGCACTAAAACCCAAGACAGAAAAATCAAATTATAGCTAGATCTGATTTCCTGATATCAAAATGCTCTGCCTTTCATTCCCTATACAGAAACTTCACTGGACAAGCAAGCAGCAATACAAGATGCATACAGGCTATAGGAAGCAATGGTAGCAATTGCAATCATGAGGCTTAGTAAGGACACAAACAAGGAAAGCAGAAGGTGAAGTGGTTATATGTTTGCTTACGATGATCCAGGACAGGCAAACAGCAATGCAAGACTAGGGGTGCATGCAGGCTATAGGAAGCAATGCTGACACACAGTAATAACATAAACAAGGAAACAGAAGGTGAAGTGGGTAATGTATATATTTGCTTGTGATGATCCAGGACAGGCAAGCAGCAATACAAGACTAGGGGTGCATGCAGGCAATAGAAAGCAATGATGGGAAAAGTATTAACATAAACAATTAAAGCAGAAGGTGAAGTGGGTATATGTATAGACAAGCCAACAGTTATACAAGATGCATGCAAGCTATAAAAAGCAATGGTAGCAATCGCAAACATAGGGAATAGTAAGGACATAAACAAGGAAAGCAGAAGGTACAGTGGTTATATGTTTGCACACTATGATCCAGGACAGGCAAGCAGCAATAGAAGACTAGGGGTGCATGCAGGCTATAGGAAGCAATGATGAGGCATAGTAATAACATATACAAAGTAAGCAGTAGTTAGTGAAGGTAATACATTTGCCTAATATGATCCTGGACAATAATTGGACATTATAATAATATAAGCAAGGAAAGTAGTAGTTACAGAAGGTGATCTATTTGCTTACTATAATGCAGGACAATGATGAGACATAGTAATAATATAAGGAAGTGAAGCATTAGGTGCAGTGCTTATATGTTTGCACACTATGATCCAGGATAGGCAAGCAGCAATACAAGATTAGGGGTGCATGTACGCTATAGGAAGCAATGATGACACACAGTAATAACATAGACAAGGAAAGCTGTAGTTACAGAAGGTGTTATATTTGCTCACTATGATCCAGGACAGGCAAGCAGCAATACACAGCTAGGGGTGCATGCAGGCTATAGGAAGGATTATATTTCTGCTCCCTATGAGCCAGGACAATGATTATATTATTACTATGTATTAACAATGAGAGCAGTAGGTATAGAAGGTGATATTTCTGCTCCCTAAGATCCAGGACAATTATAATACATACTAATTATATAAATTATGGAAAGCAGTTGGTATAGAAGGTAATATGTTTTCTCCATATGATTCAGGACAATAATAATACATAGTAATAATATAAACATTGTAAGCAGTAGGTATAGAAGGTGATATCTCTGCTCCCTATGATCCAGGACAATGATAATACATAGTAATGATATAAATTATGGAAAGCAGTAGGTATAGAAGGTGATATATCTGCTCCCAATGATCCAGGACAATGATAATACATAGTAATGATATAAACATTGTAAACAGTAGGTATAGAAGGTGATATATTTGCTCCCTATGATCCAGGACAATGATAATACATAGAAATGATATAAATATTGTGAACAGTAGGTATAGAAAGTGATATATTTGCTCCCTGTGATCCAGGACAATAATAATAATAATACACAGTAATAATATAAATAAGGGAAAGTGATATATTTCTGCTCCCTATGATCCAGGACAATGATAATACATAGTAATAATATAAACAAAGGAAAGTGATATATTTGCTCCCTATGATCCAGGACAATAATAATAATATTACACAGTAATAATATAAACAAGGGAAAGTGATATTTTTCCTCTCTATGATCCAGGACAATGATAATACATAGTAATATAAACAAGGGAAAGTGATATATGTCCTCTCTATGATCCAGGACAATGATAATACATAGTAATAATATAAAAAAAGGGACAGTGATATATTTCTGCTCTCTATGATCCAGGACAGACAAGCATCGTACGATGTCATCATTCCTGGAGAGTGTAGGGCTATGTGTCCCCACTGTACTTTCCAGGCTGTCCCCGGTAAAGTTTGCGCACTCACCTGGCAGGCTGATGACGGCCGCCCAGCACAGCAGTCCCAGTACCATTCTCCGTGCACACGCCGTCATTTACCGGGGCTCTGCTGACATGCTCTGCGCTCCGTCTATGGCTTGCACTAGGCGCCTCGGAGCCCTCCGGGACTTTTTTTTCCCCTCGATCTCCTGCGCAGGCACAAGAGGCAGGAGGAGGCGGAGGGAGAGGTGGGGGTGCCGGACACAGGGACAGGGAAACCTTGGAGTGGCTGGGACTGCACAGTGCATCCTCCTGTGAGAGGGGGGAGGGGACACAGCTGAAGGCATGTGCAGGGCACGGGGTCACCGGTCTGGGGTAGCACTGAGTGCCTGCAGCGTTCATTCTCCTCATCCTCCCCCCCCCCCACTCACATCCCAGGATGCCCTTACATGCCCCCTTTGTGTGTCCATGGGACTACTGAGACACGGGGATGTAGCAGGGTGTGAGGTGAAGGAGTGCAGGGGACAGTTTAGTGTTCTCCTCATCCCTTGCTCCAACATTGTATATTCCGTTTATTATTATTATTATATCATAGAGTGACAGCAGTAAGCACAGTACTGTACAGAAGACAGTTACAATACAGCAGGGTAACGATGGCTGTACACTATTAAAGCTGAATTCTGGCCACAAAAACTTTCATTTACTCCACATTGACACCTGAGAGTTTTGTGAACGTGCTGCAAATGATGTGCATTCCCAAAATGTGCCAAAAACACAAAAACCCGCTTTCCATGCCAGTGGCACCCCAAAAGCAGCTGGGAAAACGTGTATTTGCCCCGTGTTTGCGGCCATTTAAACAAGCATGAGTAAAATGCACAATGCATGTCGCAGATTTTGCCACATGCACTACTTTCCCACGGCGCGACAACCACGGAAACAAAACACACGCAAACGCAGTGATGCTCCAGGTGTGTACGGGGACTTACAGAAAAACTACGGGCATTACAAAATGAACTCTTGCAGTGGGGCTACCCTGCCCTGCAAGGGTTGACTGCTCTTTTTTTTGCCTGTAGGGGGGCTCAAATAAAAAAAGATACACTCACCTGATCCTCAATCCCACCTGGTTGCTGGACTGGTCCCTGCAGCCTCTTCTCTCCCAGGCTTCAGCAGTCTAAGGATCTGGGAGTCATCATGTCTGAAGGTGCCCATACACCTTACGCATATCGGCCGATTTTCGTATGTGATCGCGTTTTCGTCCGATATTCATAAGGTTGATGGGCAGTGTACAACCGCAAATACTGTACAATCGATCGACTTTTGACTAACCAGCAGGTTAGAAAACTTTGGTCGATCGTGCGATTTGCGCAAGGTTAGTGGTGTTTCCGTACGTCAAAAATCGTACGGTCTACACTGCTCGTGCGCAAACGAAAATACGTGCGGTCGATTACGGCAATTCGTCCAGGTGCTTTCTTTAATTACGGCTAATTGAACCTTGCGATAATTGGGGCAGGTTGGGGCCGCCGTACGACAATCGCACAAAACGTTTTGTACGATAATCGTAAGGTGTATGTGCACCTTAACACAGTGTAGTAGACAGGAGGACGCTGAGGGTAAGGGGGAGAGAAGAAGTGAGCGCTCTCTGCTGCATGATGGAGGCTGCGGTGAGTAGATCTCCTTTATATTAGGAAAATGAGCAGTTAACCCTTCCAGTGTGGGTGTAGTCCCACTGCAAGAGTTCATTTTGGGACCAACGGGCGCTCTTCTTTAACCCCTTACCAACCGATGGCGGGATTATTTTGTCACAATCTTTCAGTTCATTAATGACCGGCCAGCAGAAAATCCTGTCATGCGGTAAAATGAGGTCCGTGAAGGGACCAGCGCTCGTGTTGTCAATGCTGTTGCTGGGTGTCAGGCAGACCCTCAACAGCAAATTGGGGGGTCCCAGCGCTGTGATCACAGTGACAACTAATGGCAGTTATCACAGTGCTGTTACAGCCAATGAGTGGGCTTGCAGCTCACTGTGTGGTGGAGCCGCAAACCGATTCAGTATGATACAAAAGTGATACAAAGTACAGCGTCTCCTCAAAATGAAATAAAAAGAGCGCCTCCATCGCGTGAAATCGTTTTAATTAGACGATATAAAAAGGGTAAAAGACATAGTCACAAAGGGACTTGAAAAACAGGCATATAATGTGAATCGGCAAACACAGACAGCAAGATCACAGGATAAGAATTCGGCCGAACAAACTGCATAGCCCTCTTAGTTGTTGACGCGTTTCAGAGGACACGCCTCCTTCCTCAGAACCAATGCATGATTGCTCCTTCCTCAGAACCAATCGTCTAATTACAACGATTTCACACGATGGAGGCGCTCTTTTTCTCTATTTATTTCAGTTTTTGTGGTCCCATCCCAGACCAGTGTGAGCAGCCTTCAGTGTGCACCATTACATCTCCTTACACAGGTCTTGAGACCGGCGCCGGTGATATTAACTCTTTCTATGTCTCCTCAAAATACTTAGGCTAGGTTCACACCAGATGCAGTGCGTTCCGGCCCGATTCTGGCCAGAACGCACTGCATCACATTGTGGCCGGCTCACTTTTGTGTGGGGCAGGAGGGGGCGCAATGCGATCGGCCGCACGGAATCGCAAGGCACATTGTGCGATCAAAATAGTGCTTGTAGCATTTTGATCGCACCGGACCGCAGGCACAATGTGGCTTGCAATCCCGTGTGGCCGATTGCATTGTAGCCGGAGGGCGGGGCTAGGGTGCCTTTCACTTCAATGGCCCCACAAAAAAGTGAGCTGGCCGCAATGCAGTGCGTTCTGGCTAGAATCGGGCCGGAACACACTGCATCTGGTGTGAACCTAGCCTCAGGGGTTCACAAAGCTGCCAAAAGATCCAGCTGTAGCTTTGGCTAGCTTCGGTTACGGGAGTCCTTCGTTCAGTCCAACTGAAGGGCTGCTGTATGGGCTATTCACTATAGCCCGTACAGCTCCCGAAGGTGGCCGAGTGGCTCAGCCGAGCTGAAGGCATTTGCTTCAGCTCAACTGAGCCGAAGTGTCAGCCGAAGCAGGACAAACGGCCTGCTGAAGGCGGGCCTTTCGCCCAGCAAATGACAGTTGTAATGACACAACAGCGTCCCCAAATCACCTGGGGACGCTGCACTGTCATTAAACGATAACAACTGGGCGGAGCCCGCCGTGACGTCATGGGCGGCTCCGCCCAGTTGTTATTCATTGGCCGGCACCTGCTAGAAGACTCTAGCAGGTGCCGGCCAATAGGAAACAGTTGGGCGGAGCTAGCTGTCACTGCTAGCTCCGTCCAATTGTTGTTTTTTTAATTAATTTTTCACTTTATTCACATTTTAAAATTATTTTTCAACTCTTTTGTTTAAACTATTTTCATTGATGTGCTATTCTGCTCGGTACCACGGAAATCAGCCGTACTGAAATCAGCCGTACTGAGCCGTAGTGAATAGCCAAACGTTGTTCAGCTCACTTCACCACGGCTCGGTTATTCACTCAGCTGACTACGGCAGCTTTGTGGATAACCCCCATAGTGCTGAGGAGGTTATTAAAGATAGGGAGACAAAAATACTGCATTCTAACATTGTTCCAAACTAAAACTGTATTTCACTCCTTACCTATACCTCCCCCAAAAAAGCTGAAATCCCAGACACATGATCTACCCTATAAGTCAGGACAAGTAAAATAATTTATTATGAATTACTTTCTTTTCGCTACATTATTATTGCTGCCCAAACTGTGAAAATTTTGTTTTTTTTTCCCCATTTTTTTAAATAAACAAATAAGAATGTCTGTATGAATATGTCACAACAAATGAAAGCACATTTTGTCCTTTAAAAAACAAACGGTATATAATATGTATAGGTGCAATGAAGGAGGAAGATGGACATTATGGTTTAACTAACACAAAGCAAAAGTGACAAAATTGCTCCAGTTCCCAGGAACGAAAACATTTTCTGAAGCGGTGTCACTAAGGGGTTAAAGGATAACTCCGGCATTCTTGGCTGTAGTGACTGTGCCTGAAAAGTTGATAAAAGTCATTTGAGCAATCAACTTTTGCCAAACCAGCAGGGACACCCAACATTAGAATGTTGGCCGATTTCCTGTGAATCAGTCAAAATGTTAAGTGTAGGGACAGCCTTAGGAGAGCTCTGCCCCTGGAAGCTTACAGTCAACTGTATATAGAAAGCAATGAGGGACGGCACCTACAGCTGACCATACAACAATAGAATTTCATTAGGAAAGTTTCATTTTCAGAACGGAAATAACAGAAATTATATTTTGTGTCAAATACCTGGCGGAGACCTACAGCACATATACCCTGTTTCCCTGAAAATAAGACTTAGTACTATTTTGGGGAATTGCTAAAATATAAGACCTACCCCGAAAATAAGACCTAGTTGTGACCATTCCCAGGGCCGATGGTGGCATAAGGGGGAACATTAAGAGCTGCGGGAGAGGCAGGAGAGAATCAGTGGTGCCAACGAAGCCAGCGCTAGAGGAAGCGAGGCGGCAGCGGAGGGAGCAGAGCCGCATAAGCCGATGCTTCCTCTATAGCGCCAGCTCCTGTCACAGGCGGAGTGATACCAAATGCTCTCCGCCTGTGAAGAATCGATAGTGAAAGTGCGCTTCACTCATTCTGGCCAGCGATTGGTTAGTTTCTGCATGAATGAGTGTGGATTGTTGTACATTAAAAAAATAAGACCTACCCCGAAAATAAGACCTAGTGTGTTTTTTGAGCCAAAAAAATATAAGACAGTGTCTTATTTTCATGGAAACACGGTAGGTACATGTGGAATCTTGCAGCGCACCCAGACAATCCCAGGATGCACTTGGGCATCCTTACATAATTCTCACCTAGAATCAGGAAGTGTTGCGCAGAAGCAGTGAATTTATCAAAACTGCAAATCTGGAGCAGATAGAATCTGAAACAGTTGCCCATAGTAACCAATTTCTCTCATCAGTTGTACAGTTAAGCTTTGAAAATGAAAGATAGAAGCTGATTGATTGCCATACACAGCTACTCCAGATTCTGTCTGCTCCAGTCTTAGTAAAGCCGTGACACACTGCACGCGAAGCCGTGCAGAGC